GAGATATGCTGAAGCTTCGTGGTTACTTTTCTGAAGGTCTTGACTCAAATAATTCTTGGGCAGATCCCGAGCGACTTCTACAGTTTGTGTGGTTTTCACTTTGTTTTCATTTTGGTCGCCGCGGAAGAGAAGGCTGGCGAGAGCTCTCTAAGCAATCATTCGGAATAAAAACAGACGACTCTGGAGCCCGATATGTGACAGAAATACAGACAACAAACAAAGAACTATCAAGGAGGGTCGAAGCAAAAGGACCAAGCTTATTCTGATGTACGTATGTACGAGGACTCGACGCCGCTTGATCCGGTGGGTTCATTCGAATTCTACATTAGTCGTCTTCATCCAAGCTGCCAGGTTCTCTTTCAGACCCCTAACCACCACTTCAAGAAAGCTGAATCAAGATGGTTTCGAAATGAACCGCTTGGCAAAAAACACTATTGCTAAGCTAATGAAAAACATTTCTTCAAAAGCTGAGTTGTCAGAGAGATACACGAATCACTGCATTCGGGCCTCAACGATAACAGCTTTATATCAACGTGGAGTCGATGCTAAACAGATTTGTGCGATAACGAAGTACAAAAATGAGAGGAGCTTGAGTCACTATATTTCTCAAACTACAAGTGAACAAAAACGGCAATGCTCCAGGCTTTTGCAAGAAGCGTTTTATGGACATCCGCCCACACAAACCTCTCAAGACTCACGTTCGTCAACACGTTCCGAAGGCGAAAATACCGGCAAAGGTATTGTTCACCGACGCTGAAAGTCTCAGTGTAAGAGATTTTATTGCTAACTATAAAGAGGAATGTTTTGTGTGCTTAATAAAAAAATGATCCTGTTGAAAAAAAATAAATATAGAAAATCATCTTTTAGTAGGGCTGTCTGCCATTTATCAGAGTTGCATTTAAAATATGAGAAGATCACTGTTATTAACAAATTTCCATGAAAGTGTAAGTCTCTTCAACCACTGTTCCATTTTTAAGGAATGAAAATTTCAGTGTTAAATTTTGAAAAGAAGAAAAATTCGATGTGGCAAGATTGAGAACCGATCCAGGGGCGTAGAATCCATAATTCGTAGCCTAACCAATCAACCACGGAGTAGTAACTCGCTGCTAGGTGGAGTTTGATTTTATTCATATAACAACAACCGTAACCCTAATTAGAGGCTAACCGTTTCGAGTCAGTGCTTAAATAGACCTAATCAGTTTAGTCGGAATCCCGTATGAATAGCAAATACAAGACGATGTACGGGTCCCGTACTTAAATAGCCAGTACTGGAAATGATCCCACTAGGCACATAACTCTTCTCGGTATCGAAGTGTGTTTTGGTTGAGAGCTAAGATTTCCCTTATTACTCGAGTCCAACCTGATTGATGAGATTGCTTTGTATGGAGTATTTCGGCGAGCCTACACAAGCAATATTAGAGTTTTTTTTTGCCGCATCCGTGGATAGGCTAGTCTGCTACACGGCCGTTTTTAGTGGGGAGGAGATCAGACTATGAATCAGACTATGAATAGGCCTGCTCCCTTTTTTAAAAGGTTCCCTCACCTGGGAGAACAATGCAATATTTTCCTCTCAACGCTTTACTCTTCTACAGCGTCGGAATAGTACAATTAACTCTGAAAGGGACCACAATTTAAAGCCTTTAAAGACAGACATCTCCACGATCGTGCCGTGATTTGACGCCATGTTTGGTGCTTGAACTGGCGTCCAGACCTCCCCGCTTAGTGACTTACGCGATCACGTGGAGCTTTTGAAGCAATAGAAATGTGTAGAAGATCAGTTTTCTTGGTTCGAATCTTTAGGCGGACTTCTGTGCATTACGACAGTGTTGTGTAAACGGATTGTCTTTGCAATGAATGCATCCGAAAAAGATGTTATTTTCAACGCAAAATATCACTTGTGAGGTTGCTTACATTTGGCTTCTTTCAAATCGACTTCGATTAAACAATGACTCAGCTGGATCGCACATTAAAGAGGAAGGTAAGCTTAATATGTACACAACTCGTGTTTGGTTGCTCAACTGAATTCGTCCGCTCGATTTATGTCTCTGCTAGATTTAGAAGGGATTTTTTTCGGGTGCTGTTTATCGGTTTTAATATGTAGTTTCCATCTTTTTTGTTTATACAGATATGAATGTGGTCTTTCCTGCAAATTGCCTTTGGAATTAGAAATCGAAGACTGTACTTCGATGGACTGCTTCGATGCATAAGAAGAAATATCATATTTAGAATTTTCATGTCTGCTACGTAAAAACTATGCAAGAGACTGATAATAATTGTGGCTGACGCTGTTTTTTCCCAAGGATTAGGTAGGACTTTGCTATAACTAAATACCATAGTGGTTCTGATCGAGGAAATAACTAGCACTTCTCATTTTCGTCGCATTAAATAAAGCCATGTTAAAGTCTTAAATACTGACGGTTTATGTATTCAAGTATTAGCTTATTTTTTTTCTCTCAGTTATGCATCTGTTCGCCTGTTACTTTTCTTAAACACCAGGCCAAGATCCCTTGCTTTATACTAAATCTAAATTTTTCATTTAAGCTACTTCAATATAATTGCTGCATTTTAAACTGCAATGTATATAGTCACAAGTAAACATTAATTTGTTAAGCTACAGTATGTCAAATTTTCCTCCAAAAGCAGGTTAAGTTTTGATTGATGTCTTTAAAAAGAGATTTATGCGGTCCTTTTATTGATTAAATAAATTGCAGTGGACCAAAATCTGTTATGTATTCCATTTGATTCACTGCATATTTTAAATGCCTAATTCCTGTGAATTCCATGAAACTCCCTGGAGATCCATGGAATAATCGATGGAGTAGTTTCTATGGAATTGCATGGAACTTTTCCATGGAATTCCATAGAAAATGTCCTAATCCTCCATGGAAAATGTCGATGCAGAAATTTCCGTGGAATTCCATGGAAATTGGTGCCCTAATGTTTTCCATGGAATTGCATGGGAAATGCCCTAATCCTCCATGCAAATATTTTCCAAGGAAATCTATGGAGAAATTTCCATGGAATTCCATAGAAATTGATGTCCTAATCCTCCATGGAATTCCATGGAGAATTTTCCATGGAATTCCATAGAGGTTTTTCACACGGGAACCAACAAAGATCGAAAATTTTAACCGACTACCGACACAGTAGCTAAATTTTAACCGACAGGCGACAAGTGGACCCTCTATAACTGTCTTCTGGCATAACCCTGACTGGCTCTAGTAGAATTCATTAAGTGTTCAAAGTAAAAGCGCGCCTGCCGTTCAACATTTTATTCTTAAAAGTTCAGATTGCTCTGAAAAAAGTCTTACTATCACCAATATTCTTTAAAACAACGCTCCAAACATGCAAGTCGAATCGAGTGCTACACCTCTGTTGACGATTGACGTAGTGGAAAAAATCCAGCGTCAAAGGATAGCCAGTTTTATTACCGGTTGCCCAGACGTAGTGTGTGTCAATATATTAATATTCACATGGACAAAATGGGATGAGTCGTCGAAACTCCCATGAACTAAAATAGTCCAAAAGTCAAAATATAACAAAACAAAGCTTCCTTTAACTGAACGTCTCCTTCTTCCTGGCCGGTTAAAGTGGCATTTTGTTGAGTTTTGCAATCGTAGGTACCATCCACTAAAGAAGAATTAAAGGCTGGCTACAAAACAAACGGACCATCTCCACGCACCTTCACGCCCAGCGCTATAAATTGGAGAATAATCGACGAATCCGCTCCAAATTGCCATCGTGTAATCTGCAGGTAACGTGTGCTCCGGCTTCTTGCTCGCTGGCTCCACAAAACCTATCGCAACTGCACAAAAATCGCTCGCTCATTTGACCTTTACGCTTCGATATGACCGCAAACTGCCAGGATTAATACGCGACGTGAATATTCAAGCTTAGTGACCGCGTCCGCGCGACAATGCATCACTTGCTATGGGAGGGATGGTACTATTGCTTCTAGGTCAATCGACCCTGAGGGAGGGTCCGCTGCGTTAATTTTGACCAGAAAACCATAGGCGTTCGCGCGACCGTCCGTAAGTTTTCAACAGGTTGGCCCTGGTTTTCAAGTTCGAATTCTTATAACATTAGCTGTCACACTAGCTGCAGTAACATTGTTCAAGCCCAAAGTTGAATACAAATTAGCTCTACGGGAAAAACCCCAAGAGAGAACCTTGACGTATTAGTATATAAACAACTAATAACTTAACAAGGATCAATTAAAACACGCGACTAATAATTGCTAGCAATAAAACTACAAGAGAGATACCGTTTTAAAAACCTTATTAAAAACAATGACAAAAATGGTCAAATACACAGCGATTTGTAAGGAATGGAAATTAATTAAATCTTCATCTTCTTCGGCCGTGGAGAATACAGAAAATTACCCGACAGAGGGCTTTTCATAAAAAGAAAAAGAAACCTGGGTTAAAATTTAACCCCGGGTTAGCGCTAACCGGCGTTCGAACAACTTGGCCCAGATAGTTAAGAGCCACTACCCAGATCTGGGTAGTGTCGCGTCATCAGGATGGAATTTCTGTGGTCGATACGATTCTCAGATGTCATCTTGTGTGAAAACCAGTGGTTTGATATCGATATGTCGGCTGTTTCTCGGGCTACGCTTAGTGCTCAGCTCCTTGGGGGAGGGGGAAAATGAAAATATTTACCAATAAAAGAAATCGCGGTCGACTTTGTTTATTGTAGACAACAAAAGAGTTTTTCATCTTCAAGACGACAATGAAAAATTATCAGGGGCACCTTCTTTCTGCGCTAGTGGTTTAATTACTAATAGTTTTACTACGATTTTCCGAGGTTATGTCATGCACTTAACACCAAGATATAGCGATTATTGTTAAAAAAAAAGGTCTAAAAATTTCGGTATAAAGTCAAAACGTCCCCTATAATTTTCTAATGAAAGAAAGGCTACTTTACGTCCTCAAATGTTCAACCGGACCCATAAGGGTAGCTAACACTTTCGGATGAGACGAAAAAGCCACCTAAGACTTTCGTGACAACCAAAGTTCCCCTAAGACATCCGAACAGATAAATAGTTTTTAGGGTGACTCCAAATTAACCAAACAGGCTTCTAAAGCACAGAGAAAACCATTTGAGACACTTTTGGTGTATTTCAAAACATTCGGTCGTTGGGTGCCCCTGTTGTGTACCTATTATGCCGAATGAAAAAGAATAGTACAAGACACCATCAACAGGCCGGCGTCTACGAAAATGTATCGTACACTCCAGGGGCGGATTCAAGAATTTTTTTTAGGAGGGGGTGCACTCGTCTCTTGCTCTACTTCAACACCAATAAACCACATAGTTTTTTTTTTTTTTGCAGAACACCAGTTGTATTAGAAAACCGCAGGTCATCTCAGGGGTGGGGGGGGGGGGGGCGCACCCCCTGCACCCTTCCCCTAAATCCGTCCCTGCACTCCCTAAACAATCATACTTGCTATAACGTTTTTTATACAATCATGATACAACTTAGTTATGAATGTTTAAGGCTGAGACTTGGGAGTTCCAGCGTGCACAGATTCTATCGCTTCTTTAAACAGTCGTAAGAATAAATCCACGTTCTCTGGGTTGGAGTTGTGTCCCATGAACCCTACACGCCACACCTGAGAAATGAGTACAGAAAACACAAGTTTGTGATACGGTAAAAGACCCACCAACTCTGTAAGAGAAACAACGTGAAATGTTTCCCCGCAAGCTGGTTATTTAATGCTTAATAACCCCTAGACATGCCCACAAGTCGAGCCAGAGGAGCCAAAGCGCGAAATATAGGAGCGAAACATTCACGACTCTAGGATTTCCTATAAACTCCTGAAGATCACTAGCCGTAATGTGAATTATATACGTTTATCAAAGATGCCTGAGTGCTGGAGTACCTCCTGAAAAGGCGAGTAGACCGTAAGCATCCCCATTTCGGGAGAAACCGCGTAACGTAACGTTACGTAACGTAAACTAAATGTTATATAAACGTAGCCATCTTAAACGGTAGAAGTCCGGGTTTCACTGTCGAAGTTAACCAAAAAATTATTTAAAGGTAAAAATTAGATGAGTCGCGTGCTCACCCAGCGCTGAATTAATTCACTGATCCGTTAACTTTGGTTACTTTTAAATCATGATCAGTTAATAGCAAGGCGACTTACCTTTCCTACTGTTGAACCCATACCACCTACAATTTCAAGCTTGTACCTGGCAAATATTGAAATAAATAACAAAATAAATAAAGTTACGGTTATTCACAAGAGAGCCATTTTAAGTATCCATTTAGAACACAGACTGCATGGAGATCGGACATGTACTAGAGCTCACAAAGGACGGAAGTGGTAAACTCGTACCGGTTTGCATTGAATTCGTGTACGAACTGATAGGGATCGAAGTCGCATGGACGTAGCCTTAGGTTGACCTTCACCGAAGTGTCATACGTTTTCCCAGACGAAGTTTTGTTTTGCTGCAGTTTCCATGCAAAGGTTTTCCTGAAATTTTAGGCTAACGATATCATGATCAGCTCAACGCTGAAAAGAGGAGAAGGAGGTGCCCATAAACCTTCAAGAAATGGCCAAATAGTAGACGAAAAAGAAATGCAAATTCGTAACGTCACTTAGAAAGATCTTCTAAAGGTGCTTTCCTTACAAATGAAAAAAAAAATAAAACAACGACCCTTCAAAATGTGCACGCCACTGACACAGAACATAGCTTCTAGCTTCTGGACCTAGTCCATGGACCGAGTCTACGAGTCCGCTGCGGGTCCACCTCTAATTTTTGAAGATGAATCCTACCAGTGGTCTAAACAGATTTTAGAAAACTTAAATGGACGAAACTGTGGTCAGCTTTTATCATCAGGGTTATGGTCTTCTCCTTTTATCTTACACTTACATTTTTTTTTTTAATTTCATGCGACCAATATAATGGGTTCATTTAATCTGGAGTCACCATATTTGAAGGGAACAGGAGGAGTGGCAGTCCTTCTTTTTTTTTGTCTTCGTTTTGGTGGAAATTGACAAAAAAAAAAACAAAAAAAAACGGCTGCATATGAGACTACGGAGGAAGCTTAATGTCTATGTTTTTGTAACGACAACAATCTCGACTCGAATGAATGGCAATTTACATGAACCAACTTGTAAGTGTACGCAAACTTGTAAAACGCCTGACCAAATAAACAGTTCCAAGGGCTGTGAGGGAAGGGAACCGGCGTAACGTATCAATACCGTACAGCATCTAGCTCGGTCAGTAAGAAACTAGACTGATCCTTTGATGTTACACTTTTCTAAAGCCTTCGATAAAGTAGCGCACAAACGTCTGTTACTTAACTTAGAATACTATGGCATTCGTAGTTTAGTCTTAGCCTTGATAACGCATGGCTAATAGGAAGAACTCAACAGGTGGTCCTTGAAGGCGAGTACAGTGAGAGGTCTTGCGTAAGATCCAGAGTCCCGCAAGGAACCGTGTTGGGTCCCTTGTGCTTCTTGCTATTCGTTTACGATACAGGTAATGATATTATTTCAAATACTAAGTTATATTATTTGCTGACGACACCCTGTTGCATGGTCTGGTACACAATTCCGACGATGCAATCCGTCTCCAATCTGATCTGGACAAATTAGTTGAATGGGCAAAGTTGTGGCAAATGGCCTTCAACCCATCGAAGTGTTACGTTCTACGCGTTTTCAGAACCAAGTATCCTTCTACATATACACGCAAACTTACACACGCATACACTACGCTTGGTCATACCCTACATGCTGTAGACCACTATCCTTACCTCGGAGTTTCTCTGTCACAGAACCTAAACTGGAAGCCACATATCCTGAACATTACAAACAAAGCCAATTCGATACTTGGCTTTGTCAAGAGGAGCTTGCATCATTGCTTACAGAAGGTTAAAGGTCAAGCCTACAAATCGCTAGTGAGACCAACGTTGGAATATGGTTGTATTGTATGGGATCCATATAGAGCATATCAGAAATCGTGGCTCGAAGACAGGCCCAGCGCAGGGCAGCACGCCTCGAGACAAGAACGTGCACGGAATAGGAGGGATGCGTAACCAACGCCCTAAAGCAAATAAATTAGCCAACTCTCGAAAAAAGAGACAAGTAGCTAGACTGACACTGATGTGCAAATGTGTTATCAACCAGGCCGGCTATTGATATCCCCTGCTATGTATATTATCAGTCTTCCCTAAAAACCAGAGCATCTCATCCACTGAAATTTATTCCACTTCAGCCATCCTGTGACACGTACAAATAGAGCTTCTGGCCGAAAACTATCATTGACTGGAATAGCCTGCCATCTGATTATTTAACAGTTGATTCAACTGCAAAATTTAAAGCCACCATCTCTGACTACATTTTTTCAGTGTTATGTTTACCCCTTTGTGATGTTTACCTCCATGGACGAGGTCCAAAGAGGTGGTCCATGGACCGGGGGACCATGTTTTGTATACGTCCGCTTCGGACTACTGTAATTTGTAAATTTAAATGGTTTCTGTCAAAAATATAAAAGCTGCTAAGGGGGGAAATTTCGAAATACATGGATGGTCTGCTACTTTCCGGAATTCGACCACAGTTACCTCTAGTTCGTGGCTTCGTGATTGTGACAGAATCTTTTGTTCGTAACATACGAGTCTGCTATTTGCATTTGCAAAACCGGGGGACGGGGTTGGGCGGGGTGGGGGTATTTCAAAGATAATTAAGAAAAGCGTTCTGCTCACTTCTTCATCAGATAATCTGGGACAGCTTTCCAGTCTGGAAATCCTTCAGGGATTTTAATGGTTGTTACTGTTGGAAGACGAAGAGCCTAAAAAGGAGTAAAAGAAACGGGCATTTGTATTAGTTTATAATCTAAATTAATACTGAACCAGGAATGTCTAGAGGAGGCTGAATATGATAGTAACTAGGAGGAGTTAGGCACATCGAGGAGGGTGTTATTATTTCCAATCGACATGGACGTCGTTAGCCGCGATTTAAGCCGATCAGAATTAGTTTTTGACGGTTGCCTCATTATCTGCGTTTTTAGCATTGAATGGAAACGTAATGATTAATGCTTCAATTCAAAACAGGAAGATGAAAGTTAATGTATAAAGGCGCATTTCAGCCATTACAATCAATGTTGAGATGAGAAGAATATCTGTTTATTTTAACGGAGGTGTTCGTACTTGAAAAAGTTTGATGGTAATGTAAATTTGTGCCATAAGCACATTTTCAAGGAGAAAAGCTACGGAAATCCATAGCCTGTGCGTTGGCGGTTTTTTATTCGTCCAAAGAACCGTTATCGTTTAAGGAAAAGGTGCCATTACTGATTCTGTCGTTTGTTTGTTGTTTTCTCAACCAGTCCTGTTAGCTCTTTCGAGGGAAATTGAGAGAGGTCGAACGCGCTGCGTAATTTTTGATTAGTACACTTTTAAAGAATTAACAATAATCTAGCAGACGATAGTATTAGTAGGTTGTTTTATAACTGACGTACGTGTAAACAACAACTTACACAGCCTAACAAATTGGTTTTACAAAAAAAGAAGCTAAAACTCACCTTGTCCGCTACAAACATCTCCATCCCCATCTTCTCAAGCCCCGCCCAGAGATGTTCAATGGTGTCATGATGCCGCCTCCAGGAATTTTCGAGTCCCTGGTGATTGTCAAATTATTAAAATTGAACTCACAACGGAGATTATTATTCCTTTTTTTCGGTCAAGATAATTGGGGTGACCAGCCCCCAGCAACGTACATTGTAATTCATCCTAGTGCATGCATTACAGTTCACACAAAACCTGTAAAACTACAAGTCAGTACTTTTCATAATAATGATCACAATAGTTAAGTAACTAACCATCAACGGGTTACTTTGTAAAGAAACTGTGGTTTTGCATTGAGTGAAACAAAAAAGTTGTTTTATCAACTGAGTTGATAGAGCAAATCAGTCACCATAAAAAGATAAGGAGGCTGACATTTTGGTCATTGTCTCTATGTCAGTGTAAAACCCTGAAAAACGTGCGAACAAGCCGTCCAGTGGGGGTGATGAAAGACTGGAGACCTGAGACTTAAGGGTATAATCTGTACAATGGATATTGTCAACTCAATCCGCAATTGCAACCATATGGCAGGTATATAAGACATATAAAAGAAGAGAGCCTAGACATTTTGCTTTACCTCCTCCACCAGAATAGCAAGGCTTTCCCTCAAGGCATAAACCAGGCTAATTGCAGCCGTGTGGTGGTATCTGTGGCAAAAATGTAAATATTAGGTTTTTTCTACATTTTGCAGAAGAGTCGATTTGATTAATCAGATTCCATAGGTTTTAAACTATAAAATTATAGCTGCACCTGTAACTCCCGCCCGTGAACAAGTGGATCAGGGGGATGAGGTCAGGGGAGAGAGGGCAGATTCACTTCGCCCCCCCCCACCCTCCGCCTCCACGGAGGGAGCTTGCTTACAGGCTAATAGGCCATTTTCACGATGACGACATTTCAGTACAACTACCAGAATTCGCTTCGATTTGCTTTCTTATTTAAATCTGTCAATCCCGCTGAGGTTTAAAAAAACAATGTCCGTAAGCACCTCCTGACCTATCTTTCTCGCGTTGCTAAGGGAAAGCATTTTTACTTCCGGTGCGCGTGCATATAATGATTTAAGGGGGTACTAGAAAGAATATTTTTGTTCCTTGGTAAATTATTTCAAGTTTTGAAAAATGGCTGCTGCATGCCATCCGTGGCGTGAAATTTAGGACTATAATTTCGTGCCATCCAATTTAAAATACACCGTAAACGGACAAAAATGGAAATACAGAGTTTCTGCTTAGTATATAAACATCTTTCACTGAATGAAAGGCTACAGAATATGGGAGCCTTAACGACATAACGGTGATTTAGAGACAAAACAAGCGACAAACCTGTATAAGTATTGAGCTTTATATTGGTAAGGTTAAACTCTAGCCACCAGTTTGACAAACGGACTATTATTCCCCCCCCCCAACATAATTTCGTCATATTTCTGAGAAAGGTTGTAAACTTTCAGGCACTATCTTCCTTTACACGGAACCTTCACATACATAAACAAGTTTCTCCTATGAAATTCCCAAAAAAAGAATATCAACGTGTCGACATTTAAAACTAACGATCAAAATTCGTCCTCGCATGAGTCAAAGGAAACAACTTCCGGTTTCCAAAAAGTCTCTAAAAAATCTTTGCGGTTCTTGTTTCACGGTCTGTACCTTTAGTGAAAAACCTTTTGGTATGGTATTAGAAATAAGACTATGCATTTTTTTTAAAGAAGTCTATTCCATGAAACAAATTATCATTATTTCAGAACTTCAATTCTGGGTTAGAAGTTTAGTTTGAAGGAAAACAAAGAAAATCTATGTATAGTTTTTTAAGAGTTGAAACAAGAATAACATATCCACGAAAAAATAGTGATTAAAATGGTATACATCTAGGATTTTAGACATTTTCGTTTTTTTGTCACGTGATCGTGGGCGTGGTCAGATGGCGCTATATTTGCATCTGTGTATCACTAACAAGTATTGTGCTATAAATTGACTAATGCATGGAAAAAGGAGTCCAAGTTATACTGCTAGAATTTTCCCTGGCAACAGCCCCAAAAGATAGGTCAGAGGACCCTTAATTGGCACTAGAAAAAAACAAACCAAACTAATATAGATTCTGGTAGTTGTAGAAAAATGACGTCATTGTGCAATGGTCCTATTCAACTCCTGGAATTGCTTTAGGCATTAACTCCTCTTATTCTTAATATAAAGTACCACATTTTCTGAACATAGGCAAAGGCAACTTTGTTAACCTAAAGTTAACAACGAAAATCTCTTAAAAATTCCGTTTTTACGAGCGTATTTACCACTTTTTTTTATTCTACAAATACATACCTGTTTGCACCTTTTTCCATAAACTATATAAACAATTTTGATTTCTTTTTTTTTTTTTTTCTAAAGTTTTCTCTAAGTTTAGTGAGCTTTTTTATATTATTACTGTATGTGTGTTCCACTGCTCGCCTTTACATGTAGCTGTTGCTAACTGCGGGTAATGTTTGTTCTTTTTTGTGAATTTGTCAAGAATTAATAAAGTGAACTGAAAAGGCCAACAAAAAAAAATTATAATGAAAGTATATATTGATAAATCCTTGTGAATTAAGAAATTTACCTTCTTGGTCCGTCATCACATCCCCAGTAGTTGCCCAGTTCAATAATATCAAGGTAAAATGACAGCACTTTGGTTTTACGACCATTCACCTTAGCCCTTATAACAAAACAAACAAATGACATTAAACCAAGTTATTAGGCAGCAGAGGCAGAAGTGTGGAGTTTGAGCAGTCTACCTCGAACTTCAGGCTACAGTTGTTGAAAGTTTGCATAGTATTATCAACCGGATAAATCACTATTGTTGGGGAAACCAATTGCGTTATACACTAGATAGAACTTTATCCAGTGGATAGCGATACATCGCAAAGTGCAAAGAAGGTGTTAGTTTTACAGCTTGCCATTCAGGCACACTGTGGCTAATCTTTTACCAGCCTAAAAGTTATTTTATTTAGTCCAAATTTTTTTTTGATGAACAGGATTGATTGCAGTGCTCCTGCAAAACAGAGATTGAAATAGTGAAACTTGAATTGGTGAATAACCCAAGGGATCTTGCATGCCTGCAGGTGTTAACTTCATACAGCTCCATTTTGCAGAAATTATTGGTACAGACTTCCCACCATTATTCCTGCTTAATGGGGTGTCTGGCCTCTTGCACAATATTATAAAAAAAATCTGAGAAACGTATTATTGAAGTAAAGAAATTATAAAGTAAACACTCACATAGCTCTAGGACTGAAGGTTATGGGTGACACTCCGGGCAGTGCACCTAGACACTTCTGAGAACCTGAATACACAACATCAAGTTCCCAATCATCAGTGAAGAAAGGTGTTCCACCAAGAGATGCAACAGTGTCTACTATTAACAAGCAGTCATGCCTAAGAAGAGAAAGAAAAAAAAAGGTCAGTTAAAGAATACAACATACAAAGCGCTTCTCTACAGGACGTTAACTCTCCTTTGCATGAATTTAATAAGCATGCGATTGGCTTTCTTTCGGTGCTAACTCCGATTAAGGTAAGCATTTTAAAACATTTGGAACACTAAAGTTATCTTCAGGCTTACTGAGAGTACATTTATTACTCTCGGAAGTTTAGATTTCTTTTCTCTTTATAATTCTCTTGGATTAGGGTTTCCGTTGCAAATATAGCCTGCATGTGATAAAGCTGCAATCCTTGTACACATTTTAATTTAATCCAAATCACCACATACTGATGTGTTAACGGGTCAAAATTATATTCAGTTTATTTTTTTCTTAAACTTGGTTGATTGAAATTGAGAATCAACCAAGGTCAAAAAATTAATTTGAATATAATTGATTTTTGACCTGTAACAGTTACCCCTTTCATTTTAACCCTCCATATATTTTGCAAAGTGTTATTTTTTTCTTATCTTGATTTTAAGCCTGAAGATAACGTTAGAGTTGAAAATGTGTCTCATTGTTGTTGTTATTTTCATAATGTTTTAATAACTAACTCATGACAAAGAGGTCCAAAGCCATCCAGTGGTTGACAAATTCCAGTTGAAGATTCGCTGTGACAAACAAATAGAGCGATAGGTTTGTGCTTTTGAAGACCCTGAAAGAAGAAAACACATTTACGTTTTTAACAGTAGCATGTTCCTTGTAACTTTTATGCTCTTGTTATCAGGGCTGTGCTCTGGCAGCGCCCGGTGGCCCCTAGTAACTTTTGCTCCTGGGAGACTATAAAATATTTAGTTAGGTTTTTCATAGAAATCATATGCTGGGCAGCCTGCATTTCACAGATTCAGAGCACAGGGCTCTCTTCAATTTTTTTTCATAGAGCACCGGTGGCATCCCGAAATGTCGGCTCTCAAGATAACCTTGTAGTTTGGTGTGGCACATAACAAATTAACCCACTGCTCTTAACTTGAAGGAAATTAATTGCGGTTGCAGAAAGGCTTAATTGGCTAGATGGTCACTCGTAAAGAATTAAGAGAAATCAAAAGAACTTGCCTCTTTTATCTCTTCGTAGGTAAAATATCCACCAGGTGGCTTTTCAAGAACTCTGACGTCACATCCTTCCAGAAAAAAAAAAATCATTACACTTACAATAATAGATATAACAAACACAACAACAAACAGCTCAATAGGAAAACTCAGGGGAGAGAGAATTTGGCATCAATCATATTAAGAAACCTGCTTTTGTAACTTCAGTATTTCTTTTCTCCATAACTTTTGGAAGGATTGAGCAAAGCTTTGGCGAGGGCTTGATGACATATGGTGTTTTTGAGATGAGAATTTCTATGGTTTGGCATCAGTTCCAGTTTGAAGTGGACTATGTCACGCGCTGACAGCTGATTTTTGCCTGCCTTGTACTCTTCCTTTACTTTTTGCTGCCAGTCAAATATATTATCTCTCTGTCTCAAAAATAATGCATTAAAGTACTGCTCTGGGCAAAGAAAAAAAATTTACACATGACTGTAAAATTTTACTTTTATTCAAACATTTACGTTCAAATCTGTATTTTGGAGCCTTTGAAATTGTAGGTGCTGTAAATGCTTATCTGTATTTCTGCCATAAGTGCATGGCAAAAGATCAATCGAACAACGGTCACACAATCAGAGGCTGGTCTGCCTGCGATGTGATGAACAGTTTTTTACTCAGATACAAATAGGCCGCTTGCATTATTGAGAGGTCACGTGACCAATGCTTCCTTTAAACAATGAGTTGGAATCTTGCCCTATGCCAAAAATTGACAGAGCACATTGTAATGTAATTATCTTACATTATCTTGAAAATTGCAAAAATTGTTTAGTCCTCGAAATCTATTGAAATATATAGCTTAAGCTATAAAGTTAAGGGTGTGTTTCTTTACTAAAATCCAAGATCAGATCAAAAATCCGGATCATTAGTATTTTTCGTTAAGAAAAGAAACGATGTATCCAAAAAAGGACCATTTTTCATTCATTTCTATAGAAACGACCCACAATATCGACAGTACCGGCCGAAGAAATTATAACACGGTTGCTGAAAATGTTGCATAAGTTAAATACTATCGTAGCTCAAGGATACTGCTTTAAATAGGCCATGGAGACGAGTCTTGCAATAAGATATGTACTGGAAAAGTAAAGTCTTGCAAGACGAACCTAGCCTGCAAAGCAGGCGTATTTTGCAGCGCGATCCATGATGTTTAATGAATAATGCTATCCCGCCATCTTGGACGCTTGGCTTTTCAAGATGGAGGTCGCGATCAACGTACCTCTAAGTTTCCGTTAAGGTGGCTTGACTGGATTTTTTAGGGAGTATACCTCCCCACTTTGACCTCTCACGTATAAACAGAAAATCTGGGAGAAACACTTGTGACATTTGAAACCCCATTTAACTGCCTTCCTTGTTTTCAATGTCCTTCAAACTTGGAGGAGACGTAAATTGATGATTAATCTCGAGATCCTTATCAATTATCAAGCGGTTTTTAAATAACCGTGAAATTTGTACGTGTGGACCAAATTGCATACAAAAGTAGTAAAGAAAGCAGTCTAACGTTGGCTAATCAAATTCTTAGTTACTCGCGATCAGCCGAAGCAATCCCCCTCTTTTTTCGTACAAAGTTTAAAATGGAATTCAACCAGTATAAGATGAAACTACATTTCCAGACCTCATCATTTTCTTTAGATATTAGCTAATTATGTCGATAGCATGTATTTTCACTGTTTTTAGGATCCGTAAAAAATTGTTTCAAAGTATTTCCAAAACGCTCTCATAGAATTTGTTCAAACTTTGCTATAATCGAGGCAACTAAAGGAAGTACAAGCCCCCTTAAGTGATTTCTGAAAAAAAAACTTCTGGTACCGAGAAATACAAAGGCAAGTAAAAAACCTAATGGCGTCATTATGTTGCTATGGCAACTCCGATGTAAAAAAAAAACAAAAAAAAAACAGGGATCATAACAAATTTTCATTTTTATGCAGTACATCTGTGGTAACCTTTTCTCGATATCTTTGTTAATGCCAACGTAGTAAACGCTCAAAGTGGGGAGGTATACTCCAGAGAAAATCCAGACGAGCCACCTTCAAAAACGCCTGCTCTGCAGGCTAAGACGCACCGGCAAAATTGTGAGGCAGTTAAAGAACACATATCCTGTTTAGCTCTGTATTGCGATTTTACTACCCCCACAAAACGGATAAATCGATCGTTTAGTCCATGCCTCGGGTCCAAAAATGGCCTTAAAGCCAGACGTAGTTAATCGATAAACCGCTAATCTATAATAATTGATAGTAATCGAGAATATCGATTTCCGATAAGCGATAAAGAACAGTAGTTGTGACTTCGATTAATATCGATTTCCGATAGAAATCGATAATGATTGATTTATCGTTTTTTATCGATTACTATCGATTTTTATTGAAAAAGACTTTTAAGTCATTCGGTAGAAGTTCAACATTCGAGAACGTAAGAACCACGACGACGACTTTGTCGACGACGAACGGAAGAGAGATACAGAACACTGCGCAAGGGCGGACAGAAAATTTTGTCGTCGTGGTTTCACTGGCGAAAAATGTCTACGCATGCGCCGCGACAAAAATCACGTGGTCGCTTTCCGGCAAAGATATTGGCTAAGAGGCAAAATCCCCGCGAAATGTTGTCAAGATGAAAGAAGAAATGGCAACGTGCGTTGTCAGTGGCAGTGATGTGGTTTTGTTGATATTGTCAGAGACGGAAAGTTATTTGGGTCGAAATTTTTAGTCATATGTGTTGTCTAGAAGATAATGCATCCTGGAACGGTCTTGCCACGTTTTAGTCCAAGGGGTCTTCGTTTTAGTCCAGGGGGTCTTCGTTTTAGTTCAAGGGGTCTGAGGTCTTTGGGTCTTTAGCAACACTTGCTAAAAAGATTGGTGTTTTTCTTTTTAAGTTTAGTGCAAGTCTCATGCAACTCGGTACAACGAGAAATTATATAGCAGTGGAAGAAAAATTCTTGGGCTTTGTTTTGATAGAGAAATTAGCGTGTACCGAGCTGCACGGAAGCGGCAGTTTTGTAAAACATGTAGACCCTTTTTGTGCAACAAATTGACAAGACTTGACTGCCATTCGGTCTGCACACACTGTAAACATTTAGACACCTTTGAATTTAAATGCGTGGTTGAAATTTAATGGAACATAGCCCTGCACAACCAAAAATTAAAAAGTAGAAAGATAAATTTGATTTAGCTTGCACCTGGTTGCAGGAAAGTGCCGGTAGTACCGTTACTGGCGCATTTTCATTGATCAAAACAAATATTCTGACTGCTAAATCTAAACTTCGCGTACACTGTGCACCGCAGAGGTTTGCGCTTGGTTTAAGTTTCCTGCCTCTTGGTGCAACGGAAAATTATTAAGCGGGGAAAGCAATATTCTTTGACTTTGTTTTGGTACATAAATTAATTATAACTTGTACCGAGTGGCATGGAACTCAAGTGGAACCACGAGCCGCAGGAGAGTGGTGTTATTGTAAAGTTGTGAACATTTTGACGTTATTTCTATGGTCGATAAGAGTACAGACCATGGAAAATTGCTGTCGATTTGTTTTTTACAGTAACATTGACAGTTTTTGTCGTCCATGTCCGTACACGTTTTGCGGAAAATCGCTTGTGGGAAAGAAAAAAAAACGAACTGCGCCACCTTCACTTCATTTCCATGGTCTGTACCGTTACCGACAATAGCTCTCGACCAATCAGCGGGCGAGAAATTGCTTAGTTATTGTAAGAAGATAATTGTAACTAATTATTTTATCACGTCAGCCAACGGTAGTTGTCAGTAAAAACAGTCATTCTTTAGGTTGAGTAGATTCCGCCGGTTCCGCGGTTCCGCGGTCCACAGTTCCTAAATTTAGTCTTACCCTAGAATTTCAGCAAAATCCCTTTTTCTAATCGTTTGAACGTATTCTATCTTCATTTAGAATTACCAAGCGATCAGGAAAACAAGAATGGCTTCGCAGATGAGGGATTGTGGTTTCTTGGTTACAGACTGAAGTCGACGCCATTTCGACGCTTAGGAAAATTTCGTGAGCCGCGGAAGCAGTGCGTGACTCACAGGCACGTTTCCATCAAACCTGATGAAAGCTAATATACCCGGAAGTGTGCTTTATAATATGTTTAAACGTATTGGTAATCGCTTGGCTAGTCTGAAAGTCGATGAAATACTTTCAATGGGAGCTAAAGAGACACTAAATGTTGAAATTTCCAAGACAAATGGGAGCATATTGACTTAGGAGAAACCGTGTCCGTGAGTCAACCACAACATAGGCTATGCACTCAAATAACCTCTGCCTTGGTTAAGAAACTCTTTTGTTTCTCGTCACTCACCAATTCTAAACCATGATAGAATATTTTGAGGAGAATTTGCATAAATTTTGCAAAATCAGAGGAACGCTTTCCCAAAATTCAGCAGCACCACCAAAATAAAGTTTCAAAATCAAAGTACTCTCTCTCCGATTGTTTTGAGAAACTAATCGAGGCTAGTATGCATGTAATATGGAGCTGAAGAGAAGGTCTTTTAACTTTCCAGCTCCGCTTTCAGACTGTCGGGTATCTAGCCCGTGTGAAATCGGGCCCGTGAGTCACGCGCTGCCACTCACTAAATTCTTCTGGGTGTCGAAACAGCGTCGACTCTCACTGAAACCGCAACCTCTCAGCTGGGAAGCTAGTTTTGTTTTCCTGTTCGCTTGGTTATTCTAAATGAAGATATAATACTTTCAAACGATTAGAAAACGGGATTTTGCAGACATTCCAGAAAACTTTCTGACTGCTGGGTATATAGCCACCGCGTTCTTTTAAATATCTCTCACCTTGCCTTTCCGCAATTTCACGTGCCCTCTTTCCCCACAACCCATTATCACACACTAGAATAGGTTCCCCCCGTTCTACGATGTTCATGATCGAAGCTTCCATTGCCGCGTGTCCTGTTCCAGTGATAGCAAGTGTATACCGGTTTTTTGTCTGAAACACGTATTGTAGACCAGCCTTCGCTTCGTCCATTACTTTGCAGAAATCTGCATGCATATGACCCAAAAGGGACATTGCTGCAGCTTTGTATATCCTCATGTTAGGATTTGACGGGCCCGGGCCAAAGAGATATTTTGTGGGGACCGTAAGTGGTGCCAGTAGCTGAGGTGGAGCGGGAATCTTTGTCTGCCAGTCCGCCAT